TCTATTTCATAAGCCCCGTTCACACGACAAGATTTACTCCGACGCTGCACCGACTCTATGCCAGTGGAGAGTTCACACGTGCAAATTTACTTCGACGTAGCGCCGCTCAACAGCCTAGTGCGCATTAAATTTGATCCACCTCAGGGAGGTGGTTTAAAAATTTGCTCCGAAGCAAATGCTCGTTTGCGAAGCAGCACCGAAGCAAATGTGCGCGTGTGAACGCAACTGGCGTAAATTTGCTCCAGAGCAAATGCTCGCTTGCCGGGGAGTGGCCTCGCTACGCGCTGGAAGAGTCCATACGGGTACTTGCAAATGCATCCTGGGTATTTTGCGCTTGAAAACATGGCGGGTCACAGCAACATTTCTATAAACACTTGTGAAAAAAACGAAAACGGGGGTGAACTGGGGCGACGATGAAACTTCAGCCCTGATAACAATTTGGGCTGACGGGAACATCCAAGCCCAATTAGAAGGAACAAGGTGGAATAAAGCGGTTTTTCTCAGAATAGGTGAGAAGATGTGGTCGGAAGGTTTTCACCGCACTGGCGACCAGTGCCGCATAAAAATTAAAGCCCTCAGGCAAGAATATAAAAAAATAACTGACAACAACAAAACGTCCGGTAGAGCGAGAAAAACCTGCAAATTTTATGACCGACTGAATGACATCCTCGGGCATCGCCCGGCCAGTGTGCCGCACCACCTCGTCGCCATTGGCGCTTCGAACAGCTCTCCGTCCCCTGGCCCGAGCACGCGACCAGATGCACGGAATCCGACCCCGGTCGACAGCGATGACGAGGGGGCCAGCGACACGGACGAAACCCGTTCTCTTCAACTGCTTGCATAATGACAGAATAAAATCCTTTTCTGTTGTAATAGTCAGTATGACAGTCGTGTGGTCGAATAATAGGAATGTGTGTACCATCGATTCCACCCAGAACTTGAGGAAAGCCCCAGCGCTCTTCAAATTTTCGGACATTTTCATTCATCAGGTCACCAACAGGCCATTTAATGAGGTCTTGGCTCATTTCTGAAACAATGGCAGAACAAGTCTGATGAACGATCACACAGACTGTTTTTAGCAACACCAAAAAGATGTCCGATTGTTCTGGAACACGCGTTGGTAGCCAGTTTCCAGAGGGTGATCGCGACCCGTTTTTCCACGCTGACCGGCTTTCGCATGGTAGTCGTTACACGTGAGAGGGATGGACGAAGCTTCTCGCACACATATCTGAATGCTTCCTTGCTCATTCTGAAGTTAGCAATCCAGTCTGAATGAGAGAACGAACCGTTGACAACTCTGTCCCACCAAACAGAACTGCGTGTCTTCATCCATGTTCTCTCGACGTTTGGTGACGCCATGACGACCGTCCACATGGTCATGAACGCCACGAAGTCGTCCACTTGTTGCTGAAGAAATCGAAGGATACGTTGTTTTCGTTCTCTTCTATATTTCAGCAATCTTTCTTTTCTCGCTCTCCTGCGGCGTCTGATAATCGACGACATCGTTGATTTCTCCGGAGAAGAAGCCATTTTTGTTACAATCGAAGGAGGGGAAATGGTACTTCCTTTCCCCGCCTTCTTCTTTCTTTACGCATGCGCATATTTTACTGCCAACTGCGAAACAAAATACTGCCCCGTGTGACCGCAAGTGGAGTTACTTCGGCACTACGTCGGTGCAGCGTCGCTCAGCGGCTTGTACGTGTGAACGCTCCACGAAATTTGTTGCGGTGTAAAATATATCGCATCAAAATACTTCGGTGCAGCGTCGGAGTACATCTTGCCGTGTGAACAGGGCTAATGTCCGCTTCAGGCTGTGACTAACAGTTGTTGCCCCACCCTCAACAACTCGAACAAAGGAAGCCAACGCATAAAAAGGGCTATTAGAAAAAAGCAACCTACTTACACAAACAAAGGCAGAGATTAAAATCTAGATTAATGCGATAAAAAAACGCGCAAAATGTTCTGGAATTAATTAATCGCAATTAACGCAATAATTTGACACCTCTCATAATTTTCCTGCTTGCAACCTCGGTGGGTTTCATACAATCCGACCCGACGCAAAGACCGACCCAGACAGAAGAAAACAACCCAAGAAACTCCTCCAATGTAATCACATGCAGCAAAAATAGAAAACAAACTTGGAGCGTTGCAAAAACAAAAAACATCCCTGGTTTCAAGATTCTCTGTGTTTTCAAATCCTCCCTCCGATGTTCTGACGCCTGGAGGAAGCAGAGCAGAGTCAACAAAACAACCATAATACCCAAACCCTCTCCAAAAGTCGAAAATCTGGTGGCGTCCGTGTGAGCTCACTGACTCACCGGGTGACGGCTGCTGCGTCTCACTCGGAAACGGGCTCAGAGTCAGATGTGGAAAGGAGCTTGGAATCCGAGGCAACGGCTAAGGGAGCAAAACACGACGTGAGGAAATACATTTGCGATGTTTCAATGACTGTGTCTTATGCTGCCCTCCGGTGGTCAAGGCCAGCACACCAGAAGGAGCAGCACAATGACCATTCAGTTGCTGCAGTGAGAAAAAAAAAACTTGAATTAAAAAAAAAAATCCTATTTCATAGCATTACTGTGTTTTTAAAATGACAATATTATCGTGTGCTATTTTTCTGCTTGACAGATTACAAAAATTTTTGTCCAGAGTTTTGGGTCGCAACACTAGAGCAGCATCTCATGGAGATTCTCCATCGACATCAACATTAACATTGAATAGCCGACTTTTCCTGACGTATCAAGTGACTCCTGATTCACACTTGGGCAGCAAGGGCATCAATCAGAACTTCATAGACCTGACTCTTTTTTTGTGGCTCAAAGGAAAGAGAAAATGTTTTACTTACGCGCAGGCGCTTGAGCGTCTGCGGCTGGAAGGAAAGAGAAACAAAGTTAGGATGACTTTTTGTCGCAAGTGGCACAAGGCCGCGATGTTCTCTTTGGATCTTCCCGGAAGACCAAATCTCGGCATCCCTCACCTTGTTTGGTCCTGGGACGCTTGACAAGGACCACCGCCAACCCCGCCGTCAGCAGAGCCAGGACCCCCAACGCGACAGCGCTGGCCACCACAATTTTCTTGACATGTTCTTCTTCTTAACGAGGCAACAAAGAGTGTGCGATGAAGTGAAACACGCGCATGGCTTGTCCCGACACAGATCGGTCACGGCGGCGACGCAACAATTCAAGTGGGTGCGCGGCGGTCACCTTGGATGCGCGCGTTGCTCAGGATGCTTCCGCTGTCCAGCTTGACAACGACGGCTTCCTGGACGCCGGCCAGCTGGAACACACATTCGTACTCGCCCTCCGCGTCGGGCGTCACCTCCACCTTCAGGTGGGCCGTGGTCTGGAAGGTTCCGTCGTGGTTGGGGAGGAGCTGTCCCATCTCCACGTCCTCATGCGATGTTGTGAAAACTTTGAGCGTGTGCATCACTGAAAGAAAAGACAAGAAAATGAAGGGAAAATTTTACTCATTTCTTTAATGTGAAGCAATCTTGTCCTATTTGCATTTTAAATGATTCTGTCTGCAGGTGGAACATGGACACACTTAACATGCCTTTCTTGACCTTTGAACTTATTTCATGTACATCGAAGCACATTCGTACTCACAACCTTCTCAATTAATCTGATGACCCACGCTCTCAATTGATTTTATTTTTATGACCTATATTTGTCCATCAATATGAAAGGTGCCAATGTGACATCGATGTGATATTTTATCTTTCACATTCCTCATCGGCTATTTACATACACTTCCAAAGGAAATTGAAGGACAACTTCAACTCCTAAAGGGCAAAAAATGCTAAAATATAAATTCAAATCATTTCATGATCATTTAAAATACAATACAATACAATACATGCTGATTTATATTGCGCTTTCACAACAGCGGCAGCTGAAACAAAGCGCTTAACAAAACAGTTAACATAAAGTAAAA